TCCAGAGATATGGTAAACATGAGATGTAGGAAGCTGCTGCCTGTATAACACGGCATGCTATGTTACACCAAACTATTTTTATGGCATTAGAAAGAGTGCACTCTAAAACAATGATGAGAGGCATAGAATAGAAAATACATAAATCAGTAATATAGTCACTAATTATCATCATCAAGTGTTCTGTACTGTGTAATTAATTACATGTGCTGCACTGTCTACAGTTGGCTGCACAGCAGATTTGTTCATACCAGCATCTCCACAAACATGCAATGGGTTGCTTCATGACATTATGATGGTTGTGGCCTCACTAGGTGGTAGGAAGTTTTCAGATCCATTGTAATCTATGGGACTGCCCTTGTATATGTGGTCTGTCCTTGAACTAGATGTCATTATGTGGCACATGACTGCATTTAATATGTAGTTTCCCACTGCATTATGAGTTCCATGTTGGGTAATAAAACATAAAAACAACTAATTTAAATGTTTTACTAAAGAATTGCACTCTATTCTATTTGATATTTTTTAAGCTGTCTCTTGAATCCATGCTTATATTACCCATCTCATTGATAATACTTATTTATTTTCTTTTTTCCTTAATCAGGCTTTTGAGGAGTTTGCACATTTTTAAAAACTGTTTTTCAAAGAACCACCTTTTGGTTTTACTTATTCTTTCTATTACTTCCAGCTACCTTACCACATTCTCGTTATTTTAGTAGGTTTTTTAAAAGAAAAAAGATCTAGAGTTCTAGTGTTTTCAGTTGTAGCATCCATAAAGACTTTTTGTATCATCCTTTAGAAGATTTGTATCCACTATTTCATTTTCATGTCTTATTGCTTTATTTTAGCCTCTAAAAGTATGTTAATAATAGTGATGATAGCAAGCATTTCTGCTTCATTTCTGAATTTGGTAGAAAATGGCTTTAGTATGATTCAATTTTGTATGCTGTTTGCTGTTCTGTTTTGAGTAGGAGCATTTATAATGCTTCCTGAGGAGCCAGAAAGGTTTAATAAAAGCCAGAAGTATCCTGGGAGCCAAGTGAAAAAAGTATTTCAAGAAGGCAAGAGTGGTTAATTATGTCGAATGCTGGATAGGTCAAGGTAGATAAAGCCTGAAGAACATGGAGGTCACTAATGACCTTAACAAGAACAGTTTCCATAGAGAGAAGATTAGAATGGGTTTCAGAGAGAATGGAGGACAGGAATTGGAGACAGTGAGAAAAGGCAAGTTTTGTTTTGCAGGTTTGTAGTAACGAGGAGAAGAAAGTTGGGAGAGAAGCTGGAGAAGAATGGAGTCAAGAGTTTCTGGGGCTTTTTCTTTTTAACTTACTTTTATTGTATTTATCCCATTACCATATATCCCCCTTATTGTTTTTGTTTTGTTTTTTAAAGAGAAGAGACATTAAGCCATATTTGAAAGTTGCTGCTTATGACCCCGTAGGAGGAAAAACTGATGAGCAAAGAGAAAGGAGAGCATTTATGGAGTGATGTCTTTGAGTAAGTGAGAGGGGCTGGGATCTTGTACACAAGGGGAGGGTGACTTCCAATGGAGCAGGGACAGTGTATCCACCACAGGGGGAGGAAAGGCAGAATACAGTAAATGAGGACAGACGTTGGTAAGCAGGTCACTGTCGTCAACTATTGCTTCCTCTTCCCGGTGTAATTAAAGATTTCCTAGTGGAACAGTGGAAACTTGTATGGTGGGAAATTGTAACCCATCCCATTATTCTTTTTGACATTGTTTCTTTAAGTGCTAACTCTGATTAATATGTGGCTTGTAGATGAACAGCATGTTTGTGTAAGAATCCTAGGAACTACCTTCTAAAGATACAAACCCCAACCTTCAGGGCCCCCAGCTCTGGGAGATTTGCTAACCTTCACCCATAGATCTAGGATGACGGAAAGCCAGGATGATGGGAAGCCAGGATGACTAAACCAGGATGCTGCACACTGGACGGACCACCACTCGCCCTATCGGAATGGGCTGTGTTCACCTGCATGTAGAGAACTTTCCAATCCCCTCCCTTGATCTTTTCCCGTTCCCCTCTCCCTCCCCGTAAAAACCTCTGCCTCCACTGAGAGGTGGAGATGGGCTTTGAGACCTGAGTCCCCCATCTTCCCAGGGGATGAACTTTGAGATGGGAGTTCCCCATCTTCCAGGTGGTCAGCACCGGAAAATAAACCACTTTCTTTTACAACAGCACCTGCCTCTTGCAGTGGCAGGGCTGGACCCGCTTTCAGTTACACTAGGTGATTCTAGTGAACGTGTAGGTTTGGAGTCACCGGCCTGTGGTTAAAACCAAACAACCCAGAGGTCCTCTTCCTCCCTGCCCCAAGTCTATTCCTGCATCTTAGATCCCATCTCCCTGCTGGTGAGTAAAGGCATCCCCAGAGCCACACACATGTTTATTTCTCATAGTTCTGGAGGCCGGGAAGTTCAAGATCAAGGTGCTGGCAGGTTGCCTTACACCACTGTCTTCAACTGTGCCCTGCCCTAAGGCACTAACCCCATTCCTGAGAGCTGCACCCCAAATAATACAACCACCTCCCAAAGGCACAACTTCCAAATACCATCACATTGGGGGGTAGGTTTCAACATACGACTTTTGGGGAGACACAACTATTTCAACAATATTTTAAAAAATTGTATCTAAATGCCCCAAGCAAGGCAGGCACGGTACTTTGCTGCTCAGGGCAGGGACTCCCTGCCCTGGTGCCCTCCAGGACCACCACAGGTGTTGGCACCCCTGGCCTCGCCGCCGAGGTGCAGCCTGTGCTGTCAAGTCACCCCAGTGGAGAAATGCTGGTGTATTTCCCCCCTCAGAAAAAAAAAAGTCCTAAAATGACCTGGTGACCTTCCCAACCTCTGGGCTGTGTGTGGTCATTTTCTGCTGACTGACCCCAACCTAGGCCAGCTGTTTCTTTAAGAATCTCCCCTTGGGGTAAAAATAAGAAATAAGCTGCTCATTTCCGGACAGTAGCACCCACAGGATACTGACCCCATGCCTTGCACGTGTGATGGAGGGTGCTGTTCATTGATTGCCCTGGCATCATACAGGAATGGACGCCAGTGTCAGAATGCACGTTTCACACCCTGTCCCACAATTTAGAGGATGGACATTCACTGTGCATGAGCCATTCACTCACGCTCATCACAGGGGGGAAATTACGTTTTTCCCAGTTGCCAAATGGGAGAGATAAATGATCTCACATGGACAAAAACATTGTTCCTAAGAGCAGCTTCTCAGACCCAAGACACTGATCTAAAACACCCAGGGGGGAGATCAGAGCTTTCCTGATGTCCTCCATTGGAGCCTCCAGACCCCCACTCTGGTGGGCTTCATGTGGTGGGACATTTGACTTTCCGGCTTTTTTGGAATGATTTTTTTGATCATTCTTGGGGCCTCTTAATTCTTTCTTCCTAGAAAAGATGTTATAAAACCTCTTATTCTTCCTAGAAAAGATGTGATAAGAATGAATAAATCAACACAGAACATTTCGTATGCATGCATACTCACTGAATTGATAATACTTACTTGTAATGAAAATTAAAGAAGCAAAATGTTAAAATATTCTCTTCAGGGAAGATGCATTGGAACGCCTTAGTCACAGATGCACACACATTTGGTGTCACCCGCCCTCTCCTTATCCCTACACGTTCTTGTAGGCCCCTGAAGGTTCAGACAACTATCTCTAACTCAGCACGTAATCTTTAAACTACTACCCACACGATATGATGAATAGCGATTGTATTTACGTAATAATGACAGTTAACACTCATTGCCCTTCATATAGGCATTACTGTTCTACAATACCCACTCGATGTATATGGTTCCACAATTTAAAATTTTTATGTTTTTGCCCACGTTATAATCAGCGCAGTAATGGGATTCACAGGTAATTTTCTCAACAGTTATCGAGCACCTATTATGCACCTGGAATTGTATGAGGCTCTGGAGGTTGTGATGTTGGGGGCGGGGCGGATGAGGCAGAAATAACCATAGTACAGGGCAGACCCTATGCAGTGCCACAGTGAGGTTCTCTTCCAGTGTTTCTAGAGTTGGGAGAAAGTAGGGCTCATGCGTAGCTAAACCCATAATGACCTCATTATACAATATTTAGGTTGTCATATGTTTCTCTGCCTAGAAAACCATCTCCTTAACCATTCCACTGGGGTGCGCGCACCTAATCCGTGTGGACCGCTTTGGATTTGCTGGAAGTCACCCCCTAAACACCATGTATAACCTGTGTTTCGGAGCTGGTGGCTTCTGCCTTCCTTTTCTCTGGCTTCCAAAGTGTTGGTTCCCTTCTGTCAGTATTATCCTGGCCATGTGAATAATCACAGATTCACAGCCCAGGCGGCGGGCTCTGGGTCCATGCACTTGGGTTCTGCGCCGGCTCAACCCCTCTGCCCGGTGCGCGCCTCCAGCCCACCCGAGTCTTTCCCCGCGGGACACTGGCGGGCGATGGCTTGGTTCCAAACCGGCCATCCAGTCCCCGCCAGCTCCAGCTCCTTCTCCTTACCGAGCCCTCCGCCCCCGGCCGCTGAAGCAGCGCGTTGCTGGCTGGGCGGGGAGGCCGCTCCATCCCGGGCTGAGGAGGACCCCCGCTCCCCTCAATCCCGCCCCCCAACCCCGCCCGGACCGAGCCCGAGCCCGAAGGGTCTCCTTCTTCGGGCCGCAGTGAGCACGGGCTTCTAAGGAGACAGAGGTCTCTCTGGAAAGCGTGCGCACAGGCAGGAAAACAAGGCTACCCGGGACTGGGGGCTCCACTCAGAAAACAGGTGAGGTGGACTCCGAGGGGGCTGGGTCGGGAAGCCAGTCTACACTGCGGGCGCTCCGCCCCGGAACCACGCAGCCGAGCGGCCGGGAGGCAGTGGGGAGGGGGAGAGAGGCGCGCGAGGAAAACGGCCGCCCTGGGCTGGGCACCTCCGCGCCCGCCGCCGCAGCAGGTGGGGGGCCCGGAGGCCCGGGGGCGGGGCCGGGCTCAGGGCGGAGCCGCGGCCGCGGCACGCGCGGGGCGGTGCGGGCGGGGGCCCGAGCCAGAGCCGCAGCGGGAGCGCGAGCGGCGAGCGGGGCTGTCCGAAAGCCCGCGGGAGCTCGTCGCGCCCGGGCGCTGGGACCCGCCTGGCCAAGCGCGCCGGCGCCGCGACCTCAGACAAAGGCGCCGCTCACGCCCGGCCGCCGCGATCTGGAGCTCTGCCGCGGGTGAGTGGCTTCCCCTGCGCTTTCTTTCTTCTCCGCTCTGCCTGCCCCTCTCGGAGTTCCACCGGCTCCGGAGAAGCCGGGGAGTTCCCCGCTTTCTGCAACCCCCACCTCATCTTTAAAAAACAAAACAAAACAAAACAAAGCAAAAAGACAAGCAAATACTAATGTAGCGAGTTTTCGAGCAGTGGGTGTCTCCCGCGGGACTGCCCAGGCCGCCCTCTGTGACCCCTTGCTCCGCGACCGCGCGCGGGTGCTGTCCCCGGGTCGGCGGCTAGGATGGGAAGGTTGCGGCTGGGCTCCCTGGGGGAGTGTTTACTGGAGGGGAATGTAGGGACTGGGCGCCACGAGGGAACCCCACCCCCGGGGACAGCTCAGTGCGTTTCGGGGGCGCCGAGGGGCGGCTCGCACTGCGATTTCAGATTTGGAGCTCGGTTGTGGGGTCTGCCCCACTCCTCCCCTGCAACCTCCATCCCGTCTCGTTCAAGGGTTTATGCAGTGTCCCCCTCGCCTCACCCGACGGAGTCGCCCACTCCGCCCCCTCCTCGGACCCAGGGCGGGGGTTCGGGGCCGGGGCCCTAGAGAGTGGGGAGAGAGGGAGCCCCGGCGCTTTCCCGGGCTGGGCAACCCCGAGGCAGAATCTGCCGGGGAAGGCTGGTGGCCGCCCGCAGAGATCAGGGTTGACATCCCTGCGTGGTCCCGGCCGTCTTCTCGAGCTTCTGCCCCTGCTGCTCTCCAGCAGAAAGCCTTCGGAAGCCCGGCTGGCTTTTGCTTTTGTTCTGCCCGCAACTCTTCGGAATCCCAGGAAAAGCCAGAGGGGCGGTTGCCCCAGCAGGGGGCCGTGGCTGCAGCCCCAGGTGCGGCCCCGAAGTGCCATTTGGAGGCGGCGACCGTTTCCCACCTGAGTGGGGAATGGATCCCTACAGCTAATCCATGCCAGGATCTGGCAGTGGTGTGAGGCTCAGGTAGAGCGCTGCGTCCACCTCCGCTGCGCACTGTCACGCGCCTCTCCACTCTCGAAAGCGCTAGCTCCAGACGCGCATTTCCATTCATGGATCTGTGCCTGGGATTTGATTAATGTCACCTCTGCCCGGGTTCTCTCCGGAGAGAGTGCCTGCTGCACTTTGATTTAATAAGCATTACAGAGGGCCTAAAATGTGCAAGGCAGCAGCCCTATGATCATCTGAATTTCAAAGATATTTATCGAGTACCTACTATGTGCAAAGTGGATGTTACTAGCTTTTCAATTTAAAAGACATTTATTAAGTACCAACTGTGTTCAAACTAGCTTTCCTGTTACTTTATTTTAATAGCACCTACCAGGTACAGGTGTTTGTTTGTTTGTTTGTTTGTTTTTTCTCTGAGGGTCGCCTAGTGTACTTTTGGGGGCCAAATGGAGACAAGAATGAGAGAACATATCTCTGAACCCTTGAATCTTCAATTCCTTTATTGACCTGCATTTCTTTTTAAAGTAATTTTTATTTACTGGTTTGAGAGAGAGAGAAACATCACTTTGTTATTCCAGTGATTTGTGCATTTATTGGTTGTTTCTTGTATGTGCCCTGACGGGGATGGGACACACAACCGTGGCGTATGGGGAGGATACTAACCAACTGAGCTAGCCAGCCAGGGCTACTAGTGACCTGCATTTTAGCCTTTCTGGACTGCTTATGTGGTGTAGGAAGAGCTTCCACTCCAGCACTAGGGTTTGTCAGAGGGGAGCAGGTCAGAACAGGGACCTACTCTGGGACCTCTTTCCAATTCAGTTTCCTTACATTGAAAAAAAAGAAGGTGGTTCAACCTTGGCTGGTGTGGCTCAGTGGATTGAGTGTCAGCCTGCAACCCAAAAGGTCACTGGTTTGATTCCCAGTCAGGGCACATGCCTGGGTTGTGGACCAGGTCCCCAGATAGGGGTGTGCAGGTGGAGGTTGATTGATAATGTTTCTCTCTCACATCAATGTCTCTCTTCCTTCTCTCCCTCCCTTCCCCTCTCTCTAAAACTAAATAAATAAGAAGCTTTTAAAAAAGAAGGCAATTCTACAAAAAGCACTGTGCTAGCATTGCAGGGAATCAAAGGTTAGTACGGCAAAGCTCGGCCACTCAAAGGGATGGAGAATCTGTGGTGAGGACGAAAATATAAGCAAAGAACCATCACCTAAATCAGGAGGGGAGAGGGGGAAGCGTGAGGACAGGGCTGGTAGGGACCTTTCAGCCCCTCGCTGCAAACTGGTGATAGTGGTTGGGGCAAGAATATTTTTTAAATATCATGGTTAAAATGACCGGGGACCTAGAAGCAAAATGAAGTTGTCTGAAGGTTCTTCCTGCCAAGAGACTTGATGACTCTGTTACTCTCATAGTCTTGTGATCCTGAGACACACTGGAATATCCAGATTGGCAAGAGAACTGTGGGTCCTTAGTCTATCAGCAAATATTTAAGCACTTAGAATGTTATATATATGCTGTTATCAAGGGTATATCATCTGAGACATGGGCTTTGTCCCAAAGGATCTAACAGAGTTCTTGAGATAAACACATACAGTGACTGCACAGCATACATGAAAAGCCAGGAGCAAATTCCTCCTAGAATTTAGCATCAGAAAGAAATTCCTGTCTTCATGGAATTGTGGCTCTCCTGGTATCCATTTAATCCTGGCTTCTTGGTACAATGATTTTTTTTCCCCTGAAATTATTTCTGGTCTCCCTTTTAATTTTTTTTTTTTTTACAAATTTAAATTAAGACTCAGTTGAGTTGCTGCTTTTTTTAAGATTTTATTTCTTTTTATTTTTAGAGAGGGAAAGGAGAGAGAAAGAGAGAGAGAGAAACATCAATGTGCAGTTGCTGGGAGCCGTGGCCTGCAACCCAGGCATGTGCCCTGACTGGGAATTGAACCTACGATGCTTTGGTTCGCAGCCTGTGCTCAATCCACTGAGCTATGCCAGCCAGAGCCCTTTTAATTTCTTTTAAAGCTTCTTCTTCTTCTTCTTCTTCTTCTTATTATTATTATTATTATTATTATTATTATTATTATTTTTGTTATGAACCTGAAATCCCCCATCAAATCTTTTCTGGAAGTTGGCCTGTTATGAAAGATACATAGGAAATGCAACAGGCACCAGATGAATGACTTGGTGGCTCTTTACTTCTAAGAGGGAAGAAAAAAACAACAGAGGCCCAAATCAGGAATATGCAGAGAAACCATGAACTAGCCTTGCAAGAGAGAATGAGATTCAGCTAGTCAAAGAAGGCTACAAAGGCCTCCTTCCCAAATGGAGGGAAATGGTATAAGCAGAGGTGTGAAGGAAGAAGCAGATCATCTTTGAAGCGCTTCATCTGGAATAGCTGCCATTCATTCAACTGAGAGGTCCTGCCTGAGCCTTTTACTGTGTCCATGATGTTTTTAGGTGTCAGGTAGTGGTTTCATCCAGCACAGTTTGGGATTCACTGTGATCCCCACAGCTGGTAAGGACCCTTGTCTCCTGTTCCAGCTGCAACGATAACACTTCGTCCCTACCCTTCTTTCTTTCAAGCCTTCTTGCAGTTTTTTTCACCTGAGCTGAGCTTGATTTTAACTTCCTAGAAGGACAAGAATGTGACTTTCCCCCTCCCTCTCTGCATCCTTCCTTCCCTGCAGGCTCAGGTGTAGTCTGTGGAGTAGGCGACGTTTATTTCAGAACCCTGTATTGCCCATTTCTTCCCTTTTTCCCTACCTCGCTGGGACCTGTCCTCCCTTCCTCTCCACCACTTTCAGCTGCCCAGACACTCTCACTGTACGAAAACTCAGGGAAAAAACCATCTGTTGTCAGTCACTCCCTCTTGAATACGAAAGTAGGTCACTGTTCTCTTCTCTGGGGGTGGTGGGGGCATTGGGGTGTCTTTGCACTTTAAGCCTCATTATGAAATGAAGGGCTTTGTCCGTCAGGAGGGGATTTCAGGCATGGACAAGTGGGTGTTGGAGGTAATTGGGGAGGCAAAGTGCCTTTCCTAGTGCTCCTGAAATTATGCTACCACCTCCTCACGTAGCCGCTCTTGACAAGGGTCCGGGCAGTCCCATGACCCCTGAAAGTCAGGGACCTTCATCGCTTTCCAGCCTGGTGTGGTGGCTGTTGATGTGACACAGCAGCTCTGCATGAGCTACCTGTTAACCTGGGCTTCTACTCTTTAAAGGCGGATGGGTTTCCACACAGAATCCCAGCGTCTGTACCTACATGTGTCCATTGTTTTAAGGCAAGGATTCTCAACATGGGCCATACTGATGTTGTGGGCTGGATAATTTTTTTTTTTGTCGTGGGGAGCTGTCCTGTGCATTGTGGAATGTTTAGCAGCATCCCCAGCCTCTACCCACTAGATGCCAGTAGCACCCCACACCCCTCCCCACATTAAGACAATCAAAACTGTGTCCAGTTATTGCCAAGTGTCCCCTGGGGAGCACAACCACTGCTGATTGAGACCCATCCTTCTCAGGGGTATTGGTTATTTATAATGCTATATAACTAGTCCCAGTTTTCTGGGAGAGGTCTTATTTAATATAACTTGGCTCTTTTTAATAAAGTTGATGTAATAAATGTGTTATTGACATTGTAAAACTTTCCATAGGAATAACTTCCTAAATCAGAATAAACATTTTTGGGGTCGTATATTCTAATCTGGTCATCATATTAAGTCAATCTATTGAGACAAAGAAAAGAACAATTCTTGAAGCCTTCCCCCAGCATGTGGCTGATTTATGTAACACAGGGTGATCTCAGTCTGCTGCCTTGGCAGGGGCTGGTGGGCAGCAGTGAGTGAGGGAGGTGGCAGGGGAGAATCCGGTCCCCCAGTCCTGGTGGCACAGGATGCTATGTGACTTGAGAGGTCTTTTTTAAGAAAAAGGCCAAATGACCAGGTGAACACATCGCTAGGGGGTCCTTCCAGCCTGAAAGAGTCCTGTGCAAGAGAAGGGCTCTGAGTTTTCAGGTTTTATTAGCTTCAAGTAAAGCTGCGTGTCGGAAAGGTTTTGAGGAGT